AAAAAAAAAAAAAAAGAAAATCGAAGTAAATCAGAGAAGCAAAGGTTCTAAAATGGCGACAACGAACCCTTCTTTTTCGAAGTGAAGCGGCGGAAGAAAATAGGAAAGTGAAGTAACCCTATCTTACAAAAATCGACTATTACTATCCACCTGTGAATCATTGCAGCCATCCGATCTTTTTCTTTTTGACAAACACTGACCGTTGGATGATAGGGAAAAATAAATGGGTCACATTTTTTTCAGCTGATGATTGAAGTATGTGTGGGCCAAAACTATAGGGAAAACAAATGGGTCACGTTGGATGATATGGAAAACAAATGGGTAATCATTTTGTATATTGATTGTAGTTAATTGGGATGCTAAATGTATATTGTAGTTCAATTTTTTTTTGTCAACTAATGTACTTAATTAATACCCATTATAATATTTTTACATTGGCCTACTTTATATAACTTAAATATGTTAAATAATATGTTTGTTAATTTTAATCATTTTCTATACGTAGTATTATGAAAAAAAGTGTGTGATTTTTATATCAATTAGAATTTTATTCCATAGATTTTTTTAATACACTATATTTTATAGAATAATTATAATTCATATTCATAAATTTTGTTGTTTGGACCTTTTCGTATATAGGTATCGGGAATCTCGATTTTTGCACTAGATCAACTGTTAATGAAAGACATATGACAATCTTATCAGGAAGTTCACTAATGCTCCGAATCGTATGCCCTTCAGTGATATTACGAATGGTATTTTGATTTATATCTTCGTTTATATACCGATCATTAGTTTGTGGTGACGATGATTCGCCGCCAAATCAAACGAAAAACGTTGTGTACAAAGAAGTTTTCAATAATTTATGAATTTTGTAGTTTACGTCCAACGTGTTAACTTAATTTTGTCACAAATATAACAAGTTCATTAAATTTAATATTTAATGTTAAAAAATGCTTAGAAATATATCCTCCCGTGCATCGCACGGGTAATTACTAGTTACGGGGAAAGAGAATATACCAAATATATTTTACGTGTACGAGAAATAAAAAGAGTTGTCATAGCAAAATGACCACATGGGTTAATTCGATAATGTGCAGTCAGCCCCTAGACACCCTTGTGCTTGTGTGTAAATAGAAGGGCCTCTAGGGGCTAACTGCAGTGTCCCTAGGAGCAGCTTCGAATTTTCTGACCATATGCCTCCTAAAGTAGAGGTAACCAAGGTCATGTTAGTCAATACTGCGTCAAAGAAGAAAACGAAAAGAAGCCGCGTGCCAACCTAAGAAGAAGCCTCTTATTTTCTTAAAGAAAACAAACGAAACCAATGGTCTTTCTATTGCTTTATTTTGTTGTCACATGGCACAAATAATCTTATGTAGCATGGAACATGAGTAGAAGTTTTCTTGACATAAAAGTCATTCTAAACAACTTCTATTATATATTATATTATTTATTTAATATATTTTTCTTCCTCAAAATTTTACACATCGCAAGTGGTACTATAATTTACATTAAACATTCGAAACACAATTTGTAATTTCATTTCTCGATGCCATACAACAAAAAATGGACAGTGTTCCATTGGAGATGACTTCAAAAGGTGTAAAGGTCAATGATGAATAAAAACCAAAAGCGAAATGCGCATATTTAAAATGTCATAGATAATCTAGTAGATTCAAATTAGCTCGATTAAAAAACGGTCAGTCAGAACGTGGAAGTTAGCTCCTTTTCAGTGGGATGATATTAAGGTGGACGGGTGAAGTTTTTTTAAAAACAAGTGGTGGCAAGTTTTTTATGTGAAAAGACTGACCTCGGATGCTAGAAACTTTCTTTCTATTGTGGTTATGGTAGTCGAAGAACCTGTGACTCTTCAACAAGGAGAATGCTTGAACCCCTTATTGTCAAAAGAGCCCTCTCGGTATGGCAAATCTGAGCTCTGGCAAAGTGACACTGGTGTATGGCTAGGCTCTGTGTTGATGTGTCCGTTGTTGTTGTTGGTTGGTGTTCCTTCGTTCCTATTTTTGTAGTCTCGTTTTTCCTTGGATTAGTCAGTGTGGGTGCTTTGTGTTGGGTTTGGTGCATAAGGTTAGAGTTGTTGTACTTGTTTCTAGCTTCCATTGGTGTTGTTTTAACTCACTTTCTTAAGTAGTACTCTCATTTTTTTTTATTTCGGCTTGGTCAGGGTTTTCCCGGGCATATTTGAACTTCTATTCCTTTTTGGTTATATTGTGTTCTCTATCGAAAAAAAAAAAAGATCGGTGTGGGAGGATTTAGTCTTCAATTTATAAGTAACTTATATAGATTAATCTTACATTTTACTTTTGATTATTTTGAGTGCTCAAAGCATATTTTACATAAGTTCCTTTAGCATTTTTATATTCTTTATGTTGATTTTTTCTTCACCAAGAGTTCCTATAATAAAGAAGTTTATGAAGTCTTGAATTTGAAGTATTGCTATATAATATAAAATTCTTAGTATTTTGGTATAAAAGTGTTGAACGATTGGTGCTCAAGCTTATATAGTCAACAAATCACACTCTGACTCTTCTAATCAGGGTTCATTGTAAGCGAGAATATGAGTTTTTGTACATTTTTTCTAACCTAATTATTACCTTAGTTTAACTCATAAATGTCCAAACTTGGCTCGGTAAATTTTATAAATGCAGAACACGTCTCGTCAGTAAAGACTCAAATCCCAACTTGAATATCAAAAGTTCGAGTTCGACTCGTTATTAGCCATAATATATAAATTACTTGTTTTGCACAACATGGCATATTTTTTATACACACTTGGCTCGCTTTCATTACAACATAAAAAATATTGAAAAACACAATACTTATTTTTATACCCAAACTCGAAAAAACAACAGTTGATCTGATGTGGTGAATCTTCAATGCTCCCACCCCAAATATTTGAACTCGAAAATAAATTACAAAGTTATAAAGTTTCATTTCTTCTTCATTTAGCCATTAAAAAAAAAAAAGAAGGAAATCCAATCTTTCCATTTTCTAATTGAAGGAAAAAAAATAGAGGGCAGCCTTGGGCTCAATATAAATTTCTTTAACAAAATTAAAGAAAACAAAAGAGACATCTGTGATGGATTTTCACTTGTAAAATTGACGTGTGATATTCGAATGCAGTGGTAAATTAGGTGCATACAAATCACATATAATTCAAAGTTTTGCTGTGGAGTTTGGCATTTAAATGTGTACTTGACTTTTGGTTAGTCTTAGTGCATGTTTATTTTGCTAAATTATTTACAACCTAATTATTAATACAGTAGTGAGCTTTGTGTTCTATAATTTCTGGTGTAATTAACTTGCAAATGTGGATGTTATAGACATTAAAAGGCACCTTAGCTTTAGCTTGAATAGTCTGGAAGCAAGTTCCTGATAGAATTCCATAAATTCTGCCTAGTTTACAGTCTATAATTACTAAAGCTTGGGGCAATCACTAACTTCTGAACTGGGGAGGTGAGCTCGAATCTCGGGCGGCAAACATTCCAGATTTTCGAACTTACGAATAGTAAAAGAGACGAGTCGGGGCATGGCGCCGCTGCTAATGTTTGTCCACTGTTTCAGATTCACGATGTTACGGAGTTCGAATGACTCTAATGAGGGAAACTTCACACCATTTCCCGCACCGTAAAACGTGTAGTTGACATACTCGAGTCGGGGCATGTCCGACAAGTAAAACGACTTGAGGAAGGGAAGTTGGCCGAGGGCTGGGAGTGTGTCGCAACATCTCAGCCCATGCAAGTGAATGCTGGTGAACCTGCGGGTAGTCTCGGTCAACCAGCTCGGATAGATTTCGCCACAGTAGTTTTGGACAAGCATCTCCTTCAAGTTCTCGTGTGGTTGGAGATTCGCGAAAACCTGGGCTTGTAAGCTTGGGTCGCCGGTCAATGTTTTTCTCCATCGCAGTTCGAGTTTATCCAGACGTGCCTTTGTGCCTAGGCTGGCTTCCTCAGCATCCCTTGCGTTGGACACGTAGTTGATGTTTTCTATGCTGAGCGACCCCTTCAAACAGTTGATGTTTTTCAATTCCTCGATGCCCTGTCCCTTCTTTAACCTGATAATATACGAGGATAGAGTCTGAAGACTAGTCAGGCTCCCGAGTCCTGCTGCCATGGACCGAAGCTGGCCTTTATGTCCATGTCTAAGTGCCGCAATCTGGAAAGATTCTTCATATCTTTTGGCAATTCGCGAAGCTGAGAGCAATTTTGTAGCTTGAGCGTCTGCAAGGCCACAAGCTTGCACATCGATTCTGGCAGATAAGTAATAGGATTTTCCGAGAGGTTGAGGTACCGAAGATATACCAAGTTATCAATGTTCCCCGGTAGCTCGGTTAGACCGGCACGACTCAAGCCTAACGCCCTAAAAAACTGCAAGTTTAAAAACAACTGAGGGTCAAGCCCTGCTGTGGGTGGAGCTTCATTGCTACTCCTACTCACCATAACCAGGAAAGTTCGCAGCCTCTCATTTTTCTTCGACGCCTTCAACTCCAACGGCCCACTACCGGCATGGAGCACAGACAAGTGACACGAGTTGCCAAACAGCGGGAAGTAGTTTGACGGGCTGTGCTCGACATGGAAGCACACGTCCTTGGCGACCAACCGAGCCATGTCATGAATTAGATCGTGCATTATGTACTTGGTTTTATTATTCAAGCTACTACTACGGCAAGGCTGGAACAAATAACTCGAGTGTAGCTCCTCGAGTTATTGGAAAGTGAGTTGCATAGCTACTCCTGCTAAAAGTATGTTAAAAAGTATATATAGCAGAAGTTTGGATCTTTCAGCGTATATCTATCTTTGTGCAGTCCATCCTGTTGAAATTGCTTATGAAATAACCTGAAAGGTTTGAAATACATGGGCCAGCCTGATAAAATACAACATTGGATTAGCCTACATTTCGAAATAGTTTGCAAAAACAGAAAAGTGTCAAACTTGATTTGCAATTTCTTTTTTTTAGGGTCTTACAAAAGTACAAGTTGCTAATTGCTTTTCATGTCTATTTTGCTATTAGGATAGCATATGCTTTTATCCACAATTATGCAATTTGATTATCCTAGTTAGCCTCCGACTTTTTACTATAAATAGGGTCTTTTGTATCTTTATTTTCTCAATGAAATATGGTGGTTCCTTTGGACAACATTGTGTCAGAGCATCCGAGTTTGTTTGTTTGTTTGGAGGTGATGTACGTTGTGCGTGAGGACAGGTGTTGGAAGTTATGTTTGTCCCACATTGAGCTCGTAACATTATAATGCTCTTAGATGCATTCTACTCATCTCCTTTTAAGCACCAAATCAGGTGTCTTAGTTGATACATGTTAAACAAAAACATTTGTGTTTGCACCTTCGGATGCCAAGACGCACACAACACAGCAACTATTTCTTTCTACTGCCAAGCTGTATAACACGTTTATATATCACAATCTAAATCGAGTTTTCACACTCAATTTTGCAGAAGGGCTCTGTTTAGTCCGGGTCAGAGCAAAGCTCCATGGCCAAAGAGGTAGAGCATCAAGAAAATGAAATTAGTCCTGTGATAGATTGGGAAGTACTAGTAGAAACGGTACAACAGCATGAAGAAAGCTACATAAAAGATTGCATTTTATTCTGCTTCGTGTTACCATCTCGTTATCAGTTCACCAAGGATGTTTTGGTATGGCAATGGATAGCCAAAGCTGAAGATGAAATGATTGAGAAAAAATGCACTCAGTTCTTCGAATCACTGTTGAGCTTGGATTGCATCGTGACATCTGGATATGATCATTTTGTCGGCCAAACAATGTATGAAGTTGGCGATAAGATGGCCGTGTTGTTGCAAAACCAACACTTGGAACCTACATATCTAAGATATCTGAACAGCAAACAGTCGGGTCTTGCCAAAATCGAGCACTTGTCCTTAGATTTTACAGGACTTGAGAGCTTGAATTTTGGTGTCCTCAAACAATGTTGTCGTCTACAAACACTCATCATTCATGGGTGGTCTGGTCCCAAAATTCAACACCTTCCACATGATCTTTTCCTAGAAATGAAAGACCTGAAGATCTTGAATCTGAGTCGCACGGACATTGAAGAGCTGCCGAGTTCCATCGAAAATGCAGAGGGACTGCGATATCTCGACATGTCCGAAACACCCGTCAGGTGGTTGCCCGAGTGCATATGCCGGTTTAGCAATTTGCAGACCTTGAAACTTGACGGTTGTTTGAGCCTCGACGGGTTGCCCATGAGTACGAGCGAACTAACCAATTTGCGACATTTGGTGCTCGACGTTGTGCACCAGCTGCAGTCAATGCCCGAAGGAATTGGACAGCTTTCCAAGTTACAAACGCTCGGAGCGTTTTTGGTCAGTGAGGATGGTTGCAGCCGCATTAGGGAGCTCAAGGGCATGAACCAACTCAAAGGATCACTCCGTGTGGTGAATCTTGAAAACGTCGCGACTAAAGAGGAGGCAGCCGAGGCCGCCCTTTGCAATAAACGAGACCTTAAGGCTATAGAGTTACAGTGGGGTGATATACGGGAAGAAAAGAATCGAGAGGAGGAAATGATATTGGAATCCCTTCAACCTCCTTGGGGCATCCGGGATTTGAAGATACTCTTTTACAGTGGTGGAAGGCTCCCTTCTTGGTTGGCCGACCCCTCATATGACGTGTTAGTCAACTTGACGCTTTATAGGTGTTGATATTTTGACAGCCTTGTACCCCTCGGGGAGTTACCGTCTCTGAAGACACTCGGCATCGTCGAAAACAATGAGATTGTAAGAATCGACCGTCACTTTTGCAGCAAGCGATCACAAGCTAGTGGTGATCGCCGGGTAGTGTTCCCCAAGCTCGAAAAATTGTCGTTTGACTCGTTTTCCCGACGGGAAACGTGGACGGGCTTGGAGGAGGAGGACCTGCCCAATCTGCAGAGCCTCAGTATAGACAACTGTCCCAGATTGGTTCACCTTCTGTTGCTTTCGCATATGAAATCTCTTGTGCACATGGAGATAAGTTGCTGCCGGGAGCTCTCGTGTTTTCCCACGGATGGACTGCCGATTAGGCTTGAATCCTTGATGAATGATGATTAAAGACTGCCCGGGATTAAAGGAGAGGTGCTGTAATGAGAAGTCAGGGGCTTGGGCGAATATGGCTCGTGTACCGCTGGCTCTTTATATCGACAACCAAAGGTTTCTGTAATGGCTGGTGGTGATGCAGAAATGGGAAATGAGACGAAAGAGCTAGGTCAAATCATCACTTTTGGGGAAGAAGAGCAGATCAAGTCAAACGTTGGGTTGGTGGAAGGCAAGACTGGGCCAGAAGAAATGAAGGCCATAAGTGTGGATCATAACATATGCTATCCTAATAGCAAAATATACATGAAAGGCAACTAGCACCTTGTATTTTTGTAAGACTGAAAAAATGGCAAATCAAGTTTGACACTTTTCTGGCTTTTCAAACTATTTCGAAATGTAGGTTAATCCAATGTTGTATTTTCTACAGGCTGACCCATGTATTTCAACCTTTGAGGTTACGTCAAAACCAAAAAGAAAGAAAAGAAAATTAATAATAATGACAAATTTCATAAGCAATTTTAACTGAATGATCCAAACTTCTGCTGTATATACTTTCAACATACTTTTAGCAGGAGAAGCCATGCAACTCACTTTCCAATATATTTCATAAGCATGAATCAAAGTCAATCAAGCATCGTGACACAAGTTGTTTGAAAACATCGTTAATTTAAGGTGGTATAGGTTAGATGAACAGGTTCCTATCCTGTTTGCTAGACATGTTATACATGACGTACGTTAATTCACTCGAATGTTATTAAAAAGAGACGTACCGTATCATTATCTTCATACTGCGAATTGATATCATCATCACTTTCAGTTGCCTTGTTGCTCGACTCATCTTGGGTAATACATTATAACTGTTTTTTTAGGTTAATTCATGTTTCTTAAGAGAATAATCATCAAAGATACACGCAACAAGACCAAGTTGCCTGATGCTACTTCATGTAAAGGAACTTAAAATTTCATATTCTCTAATTATAAGTAATTAAAATCCCTAAGCAATATTTTGTCAAATCAAGACATAACAGCAGAATAATTACTTCCACAGCTTGAAATAACTTTAACAAAAAAAAGGAACATTTGAAATTGAGGGAAGTTGGGCCTTCATATCATCAAATTATCAAGTTGGGCCAAAAATTTTGGACTACATTAGGTGCCCCATTACCTAGCATGTGAGGACTGTTGTTCAATGAACATCTAACATCTCGAAAAAGTCCACAACATAGATAGAAGCACCAAAACAAGAGAATACATTTAAAGAATAAATAAATTAAAAATATATATGTGCCAAAATATACATTATTAAACATGTAGTATATATTTTTCTAATCAACAAATGTAGACAAACTTATAGTTATATAACCAATGATCTAACTGAAACTCGATGGGAGGTTTTCATATCACTATAATTTGCTATATATGCACATATGAAATAAATGTGAACCCATATAACACAAACTCAAACTCTCCTGATATATATTAAGAGATTTTACGGTCTCGTTACAGAACCATTCCGTCGGGATTTATAACCGTTCGATCAACTATCCACGACGGTTACATGATGATCTAACGGTTACAAATCTCGACGGAATAATTTCGTAACGGGACTGTAGCATTTCTGATATATTAGTGAGTACAACTAAAACGAGTTTCAATAATTAACATTTGATCAAACAAACAAATTCCACATTTGGCCAACAATGGTGAAATTCTCGGCGCCAAAAATTTCATCACTCTCAAACAATAATTAATCAATAAATAAAGCTGTTTATTTATTTATTTCCTTTTAAAAAATTGTTTATTATCTAAATTCTCACATGGCAGCCAGCCCACGTGTCCAACGCAACGCGTTTGGGCCCACCACCGCCCTATTTATAAAACCCCAACTTTCACCACCACACTACTCCATAACCATAAATCTCCCCTTCACTCTGCAAAACTCTCAAAATACTTACATATATACATACAAAAAATTACATATATATGTATATATGTATCCATTTCTAAGTTCTTCAAGCTCAAGCTGAATTAACTTTTTTTTTTTGCCGTTAAATTTTCATTTTTCATCATCAATTTTTGAACTGAAATCTGTTTTTGCGGTGCTAATTGAAGCGAAAATTGAAGAATAGTAATGGCATACTATGAGAACCTGATGGCGGAGCAGCCGTGGCAGTACCGCCCGGCGTTCGGCGACGCCTGGTACACCGGCGAGTTTGGTGACGGAGCCGATCCGCTGGCGGCGGCTCTGCGGAGCTCATTCTCCGGCGATTCCTCGGCGGAGGTCCTCGAGTCACCGGCGACAATACCGACGGCGTCCGGCGGATCGGAGGCGGATTTCGCGGCTCCGAAGAGGCGGCGTGTGGCCGACGGCGTTCCGCCGAGCGGCAGGGTGTCGAAGAGGAAGCCGCGCGGGTCGAAGCGTTCCGCGAAGACGACTTTCATCGTGGCGGATCCGGAGAATTTCAGGCGGATGGTGCAGCAGGTGACCGGTGTAAAGCTCGGGTTGGGCGGAGCGGCGGATCTGGCTCCGGCGCTCGGGGAGGATCGAATCGGCGGAGTGGTGGATCTGGACGGCGGCTTGCCGACGCTCAACTCGTCGGCTTTTCTGCCGGAGCCTCCTGTATCGCAGCCATCTCCGGTGGCGGACGGCGGAGGCGCGGCGGCAGAGCGATTGTTCGACTCGTTTTGCAGCTTCCCCACTCTCGAATCGTGGTCCTCGTGGAAAGCTGTGTGAGCGTGGACTTGACCGATTGACCTTAATTAATTTTATTTTGACCTTTTTTTAAAAAATGGTGGTGAAATTTGTGTGAGGGGTAAAAAGGGAATATAATTTGGACCGTTCGTTTAGTGATAAGCTGTTTCTTTTTTTTTTTTTTTTTTT